TAGCGCGATTCCCAAGTAAATCGTGAGATCGGCCAAAGCGAAAGCGTGATTCCTGACTGTCGAGGGCGCGGCGTCTAAATGAATTGCGACAAAATTCCACGCGAGAGCGCGATTTCTGCATACATTGTGTTGCAGTCCCGCGCGAGAACCAGATCTATCATACATTGTGAGGAAGTATGAGGCGGGAGCCGCTGTTGTTGTAATCTGGTGGCCAACAGTTCAATTATGCCCAATCCTTCCCCTGATAAGCAACAGGGTGCAAGCCCCCGAAAGTGCACTTCAATTGAAAACAGAACTTGCCCTGGTGGGGGGGCCAGCGATTATTATTCTTAGAAAGGAGAATCCAACGACAATCCGCACGGCCGAACCTCAATTCAGCTTCGCGCCCAGGGACAGGGAATGACCGTTCGGTACCCAAGACGGCCCTGGAGACATTCAGTATCCTCTCGAGCCGCCCCAAATAGTTCTATGAGGGCCCTAACTAGCTGGCCCCGAGATTGCCACAGAGGGGCCCCGAGTCGGCCCGACGAGGGCCTCGCAGGCGGCCGAACGCGGGCACCGAAAGGGCCCCAGCACAGCCCGAACCCATCTCCAAGACGGCCTCGGCGGCCCCAGGCGGCCCGACAGCGCCCACGACCGCTCAGAGAGGCCCAGGGTGGAGGCTGTCTCCGAAGGGCTTAGGCGACCTGTCCTCCTCCGTCTCCTCCTCTTCCTCCTCCCTCCTCCTCCTCCTCCTCCTTCTTCTCTTCCTCCTCCTCCTCCTCCTTCTCCTCCTCCTCCTCCTCCTCCTCCTCTTCTAGTCTCCTCCTCCTCCTCCTCCTCCTCCTCCCTCCTCTCCTCCTCCTCCTCCTCCTCCTCCTCCTCCTCCTCCTCTTACTTTTCCTCCTCCTCCTCCTCCTCCTCCTCCTCCTCCTCTTCGTCCTCCTCGGGTCGCCTGCGGCCCCGGGGGACACCGTGCAGCCCAGGGGCCCTGTGCGCAGCCACTCGTGGCGTCCAGCACCCGGACAGCGGCGCATCCCAAAGCGCGCCAAAGCCTCCGGGAGACGCCCGCAAGGACGCTGGAAAGAGACGTGGTGTCCAAAGCTTGGATAGCGAGGCGGCAGAGGTCCCTGGCAGGTCCTTCCCAGGAGCTCTGGAATCTCTGGGACAGAGCTGCTGGAAAGCTTCCGGGCACACGCTTTGGGAATCGCCACCCACCTCTAAGCACCCCAACCCAACCCGAAGAGGCCCCAATCTGCCCTTCACTCCCCAGGGGGGGGGGGGCGGGCGTGAAACCTTGAACAAAACACACGTGGAACTCGCACCCCCCCGCACCCGGAGTCGGGATATCTTCGGGTTGGGCTGGGGCGGTCCGGTGGGAAGTCAGGGAGACTCTTCGCAGGAGGGGGGGCCCGTGCGCAGCCGCGTCGGCTCTCCGTGCTATTCCTGGCCGCTCCGGGCCCCGGCCCAAGCGGCCCGCGGAGGCTCTCCGATCCGCGCCCCGCGAGGCCCCGCAAGAGGCTCCGCGCTCTGCCCGGAGGCGGGGGGGTGGGCGGCAGGCCCTCGCGGGGGGGGAGGGCCAAGGGGCCTGCTCCCCACCACCACCACCAGAAGTTGGAGGGGGGGAGGGGGAGGAGGAGGAGGAGGAGGAGGAGGAGGAGGAGGAGGAGGAGGAGAGGAGGAGGAGGAGGAGGAGGAGGAGGAGGAGGAGGAGGAGGAGGAGGAGGAGGAGGAGGAGGAGGAAGAGGAGGAGGAGGAGGAGGAAGAGGAGGAGGAGGAGGAGGAGGAGGAGGAGGACGACCCCCTCCCCCTCCAACTTCTGGTGGTGGTGGTGGAGAACAGGCCCATCCGGGGCGCTTTCCCGGATGGTGCGGCGAGCCGCCGGGCGCTGCCTGCGCCCCGTGGCCCTGCTCTGCGGGCTGTGGTGCAGGAGGCTCGAAGTGGGCGCACGCCTGTCGTTGGAAGTGGTCAGAGGAGGAAAATCTCCAGCCTGGAACATATCCCTATCCCAATGCTGGGCACCTCCTCATCACGATGCCAATCTTAGGGATTCCCTTATTTTTTGAGGGCGAATCCCTAAGATTGTCATCGCCTTTTGGCGTGTCAATCTTAGGGATAGGGATAGTTACGTTCGAGGCTGGTAAGAAAAGGTACCACCCCTTCGCCGGTCCTCTCCTGTGGGCCTCCTGAGAGGCCCTCATCGCCACGGCTGGATTCGCCTCGGAATGCTGGTCAGGACGCACCCCGGGAGAGGTCCGGGGAGGAGCGGTATCGGTAGGTGTCTGGGGACTCCCAGATCCCAATCTAGTTCCAGCGCCTTCCTGCCTCAAGAATCGGCACTGTTCTGTTGTGACTTGCTGTTGTCTGAGAAGGGCTGAGCCCAATAGACTCCATGCTTCTGCCTACTTCTGACCGACGTGTACGGTGGGACCGAGGCAGAAGAGCGAGGCCGGTTCGGGGAGGGTGCCCTGATGTTCTCCGTGTGTGTTGGATGCTTCTTCTGCATCCTGGAGAGGGTGCCCTCGCGTGTGCCGCATGCTGTGGCCATCGGGGGGCCCCGCACGCTCTTGCAGGATGCTCTCAGGTCCTAGGCCCGGACGTGCGGAAAGAGTGGGCACGTCGACTACAGTGAGCGGCTTGAATAAGGAACGCTTACTTTTCAAAAGGGGCTCGGTCGTTCCTTAGGCTTGCATGCGTTATTTATCGTCCCCTATGCGTTATGTATTATTTGTTCATCGTTCCCTGCGCGTTATTCCTTGAAAAAAGAGGCTTTGTTCCTTATTTATCGTTCCTTAGGTCAGGCCGATGACTGTAGCAGCAGCTCCTGCCCCTTTTGCACAGGGCTCGCTGGCGGCACTGCCGCGGACGTGGCCCCACTGGAGGCAAAAAGGCCGCTTGCCCAGAAGCGGCCGCTCCTGGTCTTGGACAGCATCGGTTTCTCTGATGAGGGCGGCGGTGATACCCGTGGCCACTCCACCGTTGGAGTTCCGCGGGCTTCCAGACCCTGGCTTCCTTTTCTAAGGGACCCTTGTCATCCCTCCTCCACCGCATCTTGTCCGTACCCTTGAGTCGGGCCTGTCCCCCTACAGGGGGATTTTCGACGAAGAATAAAAAATATCCCAAACATATTCCCAAAGGGTCAAAACATACCCCACACATCGTCCCCAGGCTATGTTTGGATCATTGTTTGATTATTTTCGGGGTATGGTTTTATTTTTCGTCGACAATCCCCCTGTAGGGGGACACGCCCGACTTAACCGTACCCACTTCGGGCGTCCGGATCTGTGGGCCGTGGTGCTGCGCGCTCCCCGGCGGGGCCGCGCTTGCCGGGCTGGCGTGGCCCTGGTCCCCTTCGGGCGGCGCGTCGCGCCCCCCCACACCCCCCGCCGTCTGTCTTCCCGTCGCAAGGTCTGGCCGTTCAGAGGAGGAGGAGGGGGAGGAGGAGGAGGAGGAGGAGGAGGAGGAGGAGGAGGAGGAGGAGGAGGAGGAGATGGAGGAGGAGGAGGAGGAGGAGGAGGAGGAGGAGGAGAAGGAGGAGGGGGAGGAGGAGGAGGGGGCTCGGGGATGCGCCGCCAGGGGGCTCCTCGGACGCACCCCTGCAGTCGACCCGCACAGCCAGGACGGGCAGCCCTGCCAAGGGTACCCCTTGCGTCCTTGCCCCTGCGGGCCATCCTCAGCGACTCTCGCTGGCCAGCCTCGTCCGAAAAGCGCTCACGTGGCCCTCCAGGGCCCCTGCATCCTTCAGGAGAGGAAACACACACAGACACAAGTAATCGTTGGACAGGAAAAGGCCGCGCCCAGACAGCGCATCGGCAGAACATGACAACTTACACAAGCCATGGAAAAATCATGCGAAGACAATTCCGCGCTGAATGCACCCGCGCCGGAACGCAGCCACTGTGGTGGGCGGCGGAAGGACATGCACCAGCACGGCGGCATGTGGCGGCATGCACCAGCACGGCGGCACAAGTCATCGTTGGCCCACCCGGAAATCTAGGAAAAGATGGGAAGTGTGGGGGGGGGAAGACACAACCCAGAACATGTGGGGAACACAGGGGGAATCCTGTTATCTCTGTCTATTTATTTGTGTGTCCCTGGGCCCCTGGGCCCCTTCCATCCGTTCATTTATTGGAGGAGGAGGAGGAGGAGGAGGAGGAGGAGGAGAAGGATCGAGGAGGAGGAGGAGGAGGAGGAGGAGGAGGAGGAGGAGGAGGAGGAGGAGGAGGAGGAGGGGGAATCCTGTTATCTCTGTCCATTTATCTGTGTGTCCCTGGGCCCCTTCCATCCGTCTGTCGCGCATCCGCACCAGTGGGCGTTGGCTGTCTTCGGGGGCGGGCGCCGCCCTCTCGCGCCTCCCCGAGGAGTGGGGCCCCACGTGGTCGGTCCGCTCGCAGGCCCGACGAAGTCGGGGCTGTCGGGGTGTGTGCTGTTCCCATCTTCTGGAGGAGGAGGAGGAGGAGGAGGAGGAGGAGGTGCTCCCATCTTCTTTAACTACGGTAGGTTTGCGTCGTGTCGACCAGCGGCGACCCCAGCGCGGGCGTTCAAGGTTGAACGCCGCCGGCGGCCCAGAATCGATCGATGTGGAACGATCGGACGTTGCGGCAGCGGCCGATCGTTCAAGGTGGAACGATCCCTGCGGTGTCAAAAACCAGCGCTTGGGTCGGCACGACACGGACCTGCCGTAGCCGTGTTCTCCCCCAAAAAGGGTCGAGCACCAAGAAAGCACCGACTCTGGAGAGCTTTCACGTGTCGGGCCCCAGGGGGCGATGCTCGTTCGACACTGCTTCGACACTGTTCTGCGTGCTCGAACTCATAGTTTTGGGATGTGGTCCTTCATCAGTACGATGGGAACAACATAAGTCGTGGTCGACATGTCCCCTGTCAGGTCTGGTGGCGGGCGTCGCGGAGGAAAGCACGGGCGACTCGCGCATCGGCCTCCTCCGGCCGCCGGCGTGCTGCTCCGGCCCTCGGGGCAGAGTGCCGGGGGGGGCGGCGCGCCGTTGGCCGGCCCGAGGCCCTCCATGGCTTCGCGGGCGCCACGGCATCGTGCAACGACTCGCCGCGCTGGCGTGGCCGATTTGAAGATGCAGATTCTGAATCTGGCGGCGCTGACTGACCGTGGGCAGCGGCTGAACACCCTGGTCGCGCCAACCTACCAGGAGAAGCGGGAAGACATGTCCCAGCTTGTGGCTACGCTGGCGGCGCTCCCCTCGACGATCAGCAAGGAGACGCTGGCTGGCGAGTGGGAGCTCGTCTACAGCGATGTCGAGCTGTTTCGATCCTCGCCGTTCTTCCTCGCCATCGAGGACGCCTTTAACTCCTCCCCAGATATCCTGATGGGCCTGTTTTCCACCACCACCATAACTTGGAGGGGGGAAGGAGGAGGACGAGGAGGAGGAGGACGGAGAGGAGGAGGTGGAGGTGGAGGTGGAGGTGGAGTTTGGCGGTGGAGGAGGAGGAGGAGGAGAAGGAGGAGGAGGAGGACCCCCTCCTCCTTCAACTGATGGTGGCGCTGGAAGACAAGCCCATCGTATCCCTCTGCTGGGGCAGTGGCTCGGCCTGACGGACCCGAAGAAGAAGGCGGAGCTGTTCTTCCGGCTCCACGGCCTGCAGGTGCTGTCCTGGGGCCTCTCGACGGTGGGCCGCATCTCGCAGCGGCTCGACTTTGAGGCGGGCGTCCTCGAGTCGTCCTTCGACACCACGATCTTCGGGCTGACGGTCATACCGATTCTCGGCTGGTTCAAGTTGCTGCCGACCTTCGGTGGTCGCGTGGTTACGGAGGCGGATCAGTTGACACTGGATGCACAGGGCAATCTGCGCATGGAGCTGCAACGCACGCAGGTTGTGACGCTACCAGGAGTTGAGCGCATAGCTCTCGTGGACAAGCTGCTGATGGACCTATGGTATCCAGTGAACTCTGTCTGGAAGTTGCTGCCTTGGAATGGTGGCCCCTTCGATGGGCGAGCGCCCACTTGCCAGATGAGTACGCTATACGTGGACGACACTATGCGGATCTCGAGGGATGGCTCTGGTGGAATTTTCATTTACACTCGCCCTTTTGAGGTTTCGCTTTAGCTTTCTGTGTACGCTAGTTTTTTTTGGAGTCAGCAGAGAGTTGCACGCAGCTTGTATGGAGCAACGCTTTTACACAATGCAGTCCATGTGGATGTCTTCACACACACACACACGCTGCAGGCGCCAACCATGGCCTGATGTATCTGGCTTGCGACTTGCGCTAGTTGGCCTTGCCAGTGAGTCTGTGGATCCTAGCTGAGGTCCTGCCGAAGCCATGTACTCGCCTTCTGGTCAGAGGCGCTTCTGCCAGAGAGACGCGCCCCAAATGAAATCACAAGCGTCCCGAGAGGGCCGCCCCAGGGTGCCCCCAAGAATGGTCAAGAGGATCCCCCGAGTAGCACCAAGAAATCCCCGAGACGACCCAAGATGGCCACTAGAACTCAACCAGTCGCGTGCGATTTACATCGGCTGTCGGCCGCCAGGGCGATGCGCTTCCATTGCATGTGGGCACATTTGGACACATTCGGCCACATGGTCTCCTCTCAATGGCAGGGGGCGGTCGTGATTGGGTGTCTTCGACACTCGTCCTCTGATTCGCTGATTCGTCATCATCCGTTTCTTCCACCTCCTTACCTCTTAATCATTATTCCGTCTTCTCCAGCATTATCTTCACTCCTGTTCCTGCATATTCCGCCTCCTTCTCCTGATCCCTCTTCCTCCTCGCCTACCCCAAAGAGATCTCAGGAGTGCGATCACAGGAGTGTGTCAAGGATATTCTCATATCTGTAAACTTAGTCCATGCACGAGGGCACGAATGAGTTTGTGTAACGAGCCATAGCTCCACGGTGTTCCTGGGGTTGGTTGGAGCGTCTGCAAAGGCCCCAATGTTACCCTACTGCGCCATACGCACCATGCGGGTCTGGATTATCCTGGCACGGTCTTTCTTCCGCGCTAAGCCGTGCCACCATCATTACAGCGGTTGCGTCGCATGTTTAGCCATCCGCACAATCGCTCTTCCGTTGGAGATCCCAGCGGGGAGCCCCATGGACAACGCCACGGAGAATCCGAGAACCCGATGGGGATCCCAATGGAGAACCTTATCGGACGCCTTCTAGATGATCATTGTGAGAGTTCCAGGAGAGATTATGGATGGTCAATCAGAAACTTGATCGAAACCCTTCGGGAGAGCCCCATGTGGAAACCCTGGTAACCCCATGGAGATCTCTCTACAGAGCCCTGTCGACAACCCTGTGGAAACCCTCGGGAGAACCCTCTCTGGAGAACCCCAGGGAAAACCCTTTCGATAAATTCGTGAGGCACCTTGAGGAAAACCTTTGAGAGAACCATGGCGCGACTCCCTGGAGGACCCCTGTGGAGAACCATCGGGCACACCCTGCGCGGAACCCGAAGTTGGAGAACTATGCTGTTGCCCCTCGCCTCCACCCCAGTTCCATCATCATCCGGTTCATCGCCTTCATCGGTTGTACTACCACCTGCATCGTCACCATCACCATCAATTCCCATCATCAATTTCGGAACCTCGAACACCCCCCATGGGGGAGAGTTTAACGGCTCCAGCCCACTTTCCAATCAAAGCGTCATCCGTTAAGTCGGTTGTGGACCTCAGTGGTGCACTGCGTTTTGCTAAGCCACCCTCGAACTTTGAGGGCGCATACCGACAAGCAACTACGTCAGGCTCTTTACGACGCCCTGCAATTTGATTCAGGCACCCTTTGATTCCCCGAGCACGGCTTGCACCTGGGGGCTCTTGCCTGTTGGTGAGTGAGTCTGCCGAGATTTTGCCTGGTGGGCGGTCGTGCGCGCCTCGTGGACGCCCCGTGCGCTGGGTGGGTCTCCCGAGCTTCCGCAGGGTGGGCGCCCGTTGGCGCCTCGTGGGCCAGACGATTTGGCGAACGTTCCGCGCAGGCGGCCGGGCTCCCGGCTTCCCGGTTCCAGGGTTCCTGGATTCCCAGCTGCTGGTTCCGAGGCGATATAAGTGGGCGGCGGGGTTCCCGGGTTCCCGGGTTCTTGGTCGATCTTCTTATCGTTCGGTCTCACCATCGATCTCCCACCACTCCATCGTTCCCCTATCGATATCACAATCGATCTCACGATCGATCTCACAACCAATACCACTATGGATCGCACGAGCGATCTCACAATCGATCTCACTATCGATCTCACTGAATCGACTTCACTATCGGGCTCTTGGTCGACCTGACTATAGTTGCCGCCATCGATCCCACTATCGTTCTCACTACCGATCTCATAATCGATCTCCATATCCAGATCACCATTTTTCAAACCAGTAGTCCCTTTTCAAGAGGAGAACAGACTCGACCCCCCAGGACCTGGGGTGTTCAGTTCACCTTCTCGCATTGCAGTGTACACTTGAGTCTGCCACATCGTTCGTTTCCCATTCGGGTTCATAGCATGCAGCCAGCGCCAGATCTACCCCCCCGTCACCACTGTCAAACAATATCACGCGCATACTCGAGTGCATCAGAAGACCACCCCCAACAGCCCATTGGATCCAGTACTGCAAAGTCCACGCGCGAGCTCTCATGTCGAAATCTCACCGAACGAATTTGTTTTGCACGCGTCACAACATCCATCATGAACAACCCCTTGGTCTTCAACAAAAAGCCGTGCCGATGGTCTGCCCGCGCGCACCACATGATTTTTTTTGCAATCGCCCCCAGCTGCCGCATTGCACTCTCGCCGCGTGGTGCAACCGCGTTGTCCCAGCACGCGCCCAATTAATAAAACACCAGTCAGGCCACGGGCGCGCGTGCCGAACATCTTTCGATCAAGATATGTGTATATGTATATGGTAGTTTTCACAACTGAGGGCTGAGCAGAGGCAACAGGTCGGACGTACTCATGTCTGGCTCGAAGTTTTTAGGGGGCGCGCCTCTTCGCCCCTTTCCCCGCCGCAAGTGCTCGGCGCTGTCCGCCTCACCGCGCCGTGGCCGGGGCCGATCGGCGCCGCCTGGCTGGTGCGGCCACTGGAATGCCCACCCTGCCCGGCCTGCCCAGCAGTCGACGCCCGCGGCGAGCCGCTCGCCCGCCTCGGCAGAGTGCCGGGGCCTCGCAGGCGGGTTCGCCCTTGGCCTGCTCGCCGGCGCGCTGCTGGCGGCGGAGGCGGCGGTGGTCCCGCAGGCGCTGCGGCGGCTCGCGGGCAACGCGGGCGTGTGGCTGCGCCCTGGGCACGACCTCGAGATCGACGATCTGGGTGCCGCAGCCCGCGCACAGGTGACGGTGCTGCGCCAGCGGCTTCTCGCTGCCCAGTGATGGCGGCGGCTGGTCCTCGTGCCCTCTGCTCGCTCGCCGCGGCGGGCGTCGCCGTCGGGAACTTCTTCGGCATCCAGCATAGGGGTGGAGGGAGGGAGCTCGTGCATGAGCGCGTCGTGGTCGCCCCGAACCCAGGCACTCCTGGCACTGCCGCGGTCGTCGCGGTCGACGGCGAGGGGTACGACGAGCTGGTGGTCGGCGGCGCGGACACGCTCCACTGGGACCTGCTGCCTGGAGGGGCATTTGGCGGGGTCTTCCTGTGGTCGCCAGCGGCACGGTACTTCCATCTCGGGGCGATCCCCACAGCCACGGCGCCCCCCGCTGCCGCTGGCCGCGCACGCGTCCGCCCGGGCCCCGCGGCGCCTGTCGGCCCCGTGGTGCCCAACGTCGCGGGGCGGGGTCCCCTTGCGGCCGCCCCTGGGGCGGCGCCCGCGGGCGCCCTAGCGCTGCATGCTAGCGGTGCGCCAGGCCCAGAGGGCGGCGGAGTGGCCGCGCTCGGGACTGCGCTCGGAGGTCCAGCAGGCGACGCTGTCGGAGGCGTACTCGCACCGGCGCCAGCGCCAGTGGCGTCGGCGGTCGCGCTGGCGGCTCCCGTCGCAGGGGGGCCCCCAGCGCCGTCCGCTGGGCTCGGCGTGCTGGCCCCTCGGCCAGCCGGGCTCGCCGGTGTCGCCGCCCCCGGCGGGGCGGTGCCTGCCGCAGTGCCTGTGCCCGCGGGCGGGCCAGCTGGCGGCGGCCCTGCCAGCCCCTGCGGCTACGCGCGTATCTTCGCCGTCGTGGGGAACTTGCAAGGAGTGCGGCGTGCCGACTTCGGGAGCATGGTCACCCATGTGGTCGAGTTCCTGTGGCATGACTGGCCAGCGCACGGGATGCGCACGCTGCTGCGGGTGCCGCAGTGCCTGTCTCAGAAGTCGGGGACTCCGACGGCCCACCGCCACCGGTGGCTAGCGGAGACTGAGCACGTCCCCGAGTCGCCGGGCGTGGTCATCCACCAGATGGGCGGCATGGTGCTGGGGTCGGCAGTGACGTACGATCTGGAGTTCGACGGGTTGGTGTGCGTCTGCCCGGCCCTTCGCGGCTACCTCACGCAGGAGTTGCAGCGGGATATGGCGGTGGCGAAAGAGAGGCGCATGACGCGAGAGGAGCTCGCCCTCGCCGGGGGCGTGCCCGTCCAGTCTGGCGCAGGGCGCGGGAGGGGGGGGCGCGGCGGCGGCCGCGGCGGCCGTGGCGGCGGGCCCAACGCCGCAGGGGGCGATGGCTGACTCGCCCCGGGGCGGAGGGCCTGGCCAGCCGCCGCCCCTGCCCCCCTCGGCCCCCGCGGAGCCCGCCAACAGCGCGGGCTTCCCCCCTGGCGGCGCAGGGCGCCGGCTGCAGGACGGCGACCGGCAGCGGGACATCTTTCCGCTCCCGCCGCTGGCTGCTGCTGACGTGACGCCCCGCGCGTCCGGGACTCGGCGGCGCGTTCGGGCCGGCCACGCTTTCACGCACGCGCTGGACCGCGCCAATGCCGCCGTGCATGCCTTGAATGACCTCTACGGCGACCAGTCCTCGCCCGCGCCGACGCCGTCTGCCGGGCAGCGCTGTGCCGCCGCTCACATTTGGGACTCTGTCGCTGCTCTGGGCCCTGAACCCCCTGAGTATCGTGACGACGTCTCCGACAACAACGGGGCCCTGAGGGAGCTCCTTGCTGGGTCCACGCTGTGCCCTGACGGCGGTGGGCCCACCGCTCCCTACGTGCCGGACCTTGTCTCCTGGCCTGATGTCTCGCA